AATGATGAGAGATTGAGATGCGGCCGCGATAAAGTTACTGAGAATCTGAGAGTGAGAGATCAGAGATGAGATGAGACATGAGAGTGAGAGATCAGAGATGAGAGATGAGATGAGACTGAGAGAGTGAGAGGCGTGACTGCTGCGTGAATGGCTGAATGCGTGAAAAAATTAGGGATTCAAAATTCATTACTGCAAATACGGGTGCCCGCGGGTTCACCCATATAACCCGTGCGTATCTGAGCCAGGTACGGGTACGAGTCTTTAAAAAACGGGTTTAATAAATTGGACCCGTACCTTATATTTTTTACCTGGGTACGGTCCAACCCGTGGGTCCAAACTCATTTTACCAAGTCTAATTGCAACGGCAATGACGTACGCGTTCGGAGTCAGCTGCATCGGCGCGACCCCGAAGTGGTCCAAAAGCGACCTGATGAAAGGGTGGAAGGGGATCAGTCCCCCACCCTTGATGATCTCCTCGGAGACCGCGGCCAGACCGCTTAGTAGGTACCGCGATGAGTGTGCCACGTCGAGGAAAGCATCCACCTCGATGTCGTACTGCTTTATTACCCTCTCGAGCTCATCCCCGGTAAGAACCGAGAAGACCTCGATAAGGATGTTTGGAGCACCCTGTGGGGACGAACCGGTTCCCTGTTCGGATCTGGTTACTGAGGGGTGCATTTTGCTAGTCTGCAAAAGCGACAAGCAGAAAGGTCATTTAGCCACCGTACACTATTTCATACGATGATGTGGGAGGAAACAAACTCCCTAAATTCCAAAGGAAACCCTAACGGCATGATTAGAGCCGCCATTCATGGCTCGAACCGCCACTCATGGCTCGAACCCGACATAAGCATCTCGTCTCCAATAGGCTACCGGAAGACAGACGCCATTCAACCATGGAAGATAACTAAACAAAGACAGGGAAAAGCTCTTACCTCTCGGAGTATGAGAATAGCTTCCGCATCGAATACTAGAAAAATGCTGGTTTGAGAGACAGGTTCCAAGTTTGCGAAAATCTTTTACTCTCTAAGAAAAAGGCTCTGGTAACATTGCCTGAGAACGACTCAAGGTTTTTATAGCGTATGAATCAGCGTGTCAATTTCTTGGAATCGAAACGGCATTTGGGCGGCAAAGGTTTCTCAACATTTATCACGGCCACGTGTCGCGCATCAGCAGGGAAGAGTGAGCGTCACGACTGGATAATGTCAAACCTTCATCTCTTCCGTTGAAAAGCTCAAACGACGGCCATCTCTCTTCCTCAGAGCATTAATTGCGTCTCAAATCTACATTTAATGCTCTGATAAAGGGCGTCGTTCTAACGTACAACGCATTTAATGTCCTGATAAGGTGTACTGTGTCAGCACACAACGCATTTAATGCATCTGGCTGGCACTTATCACGCACAGGGCACATCTGTCAGCGCATGGACTGCTTCATTAAATGCACCCATATCAAAAGGACAACAAGTGACGTCTGACGAAATCAGGTCGTTCATCCCCTGCAAACACTGAACATGCAAGGTCGTTCTCGAAAAAGTGCCATCCCGACCTACTTTCAGACAGGTCAAAATTTCCAAAATTTTCAGAATTTCCAGAATCTGCAGGAATCACCCAATTGCGGCATGACTTGTAGTTTCCAAGGTTCGGTTCTCAAACCTTAAAAACTAGGAGACTTCTGTTATGCCTGGGAACATAGGGCTAACGTGGCACCCGGTTAAGTGCAAAAGGTCAAATCTCGGGAAGAGTCTACTGCCATTCTGGCGCAGCTGCATCGTGTGATCATGGTTGCACCCCACAGCTTGCTTCCGTCAGAATAATGGGTGCACGTCAGGTCAGCAAGGAGTTGTGATGATCCCGCATGTCTAATCCCTACAGCAAATCACGTGAATTATTCTAAACGAAGGATTTGCATGAATCATCCCACCAACTTACAGATTCAGTGATCATTACCTCAAGGCATCTCACTATAAAATGGGAGCTCCTCTCTCATTAAGGGGATTCGCACATTTTACTCTTGACAAAACTCTCTCTCTCTCTAGAAAAGACAGTCTTTAATACCTTGTATCCTCAGTGTAAAGTCAGTCGTCCAAAGCGACCTGACCATTATCATTAATAAAAACATCAGTGGACGTAGGATTTGCTTCTTTAGCATCCGAACCACTTTAAAACTCCTTTCTCACTGCATTTAGTGCCATTTTTCCTTTTCATTCACGTGTGTCTTTTGGGCCAACCCAACATTTCACACGTGCGTTTCGTTGGTGTCAAAATCATACATCAACAATTTGCATTCAGATTATAGGTTTTTAACAGCGACTAACAGTGAATATATAAATTAATAATGGGAAAATATACAGTGGATTTTGCATGACTGGGGTGATGAAGAGAGCTTGAAGATATTAGAAAGGTGTAGAGAAGTGATTCCAAGCAAAGAAAAGGGAGGGAAGGTGATAATAATTGACTGGCCATCGGAATGGAAAATCAAAGTGAAGAGTCAACAGAGACACAACTATGCTTCGACATGTTAATGATGTCTCTGTTCAACATCGGCAAAGAACGAAGCGTCGAAGAGTGGAAGAAGCTCTTCTTAGAAGCTGGTTTCACTCACTATAAGATAACTCCTATACTAGGTCTAAGGTCTCTCATTGAGCTTTGCCCTTGATTTATTTTCTGCTAGTATTTGTGTGTAATAAGTTCATTTCTATTTAGCATGTTTCGGGAGTGGTAATGTACTGTATTAATTTTCATGGAATTGTGTTGTGGCAGCGTGTATTGCTGTCGTGTTATTTATCTTTTGGGGTGTGATTGTAGGAAATTGTAATGGCTTTCAAAAGAATAGAAATAAATTAATTAATGGTATCTGTTGACAATTTGTCTGTCAAATCATGAGATTAGAGCAAAAGTAGCACTAATGCAAGAAAATTAAGAGCCGATTTTACAAACCACGCAGGAGGCTGCTCAAATTTCTGATAAATACGTTTTTTTTTTTAACTTTTGATCAAAAATCAACATATATAACTATATAAGGTCGGTTTATGAAAAAAAAAAAAAAAAGAGTGATTTGTGATAAAAATAATTTAAAAACTGAATATCATATGAAATTTGAATAAACTTTTTTGTTTTATCATCAAAGGTATTCGGACCAGTTTACGTGTACCTTAACTAGTCTTCGGAGATCTTGGAACCACCGATCAGATAAAAACTCTAGTAGTTATGCGTATTAACAACCGAAGAAATATTCAAACTCAAGACTTCTTGAATAATACATTCATAATTCTCTTGAAATGATAAAAATCTGAATTATCTTCTATAATGATTTTGAATAAGTTAATCAAATATTGATCACAATTAGATTAGATAAAATCGAATGCTTTTATCGAGATTTAATTTAACGTATTAAACCTTCTCTCAAATTTTGTTTTATTACTTTATGTCTTTTTGTCCAGTGTATTTATGGACTTGACTTGGCCATTATTGCAGAAAAAAGGCTGAAGATGATTGATTCCACAATTAAAACTGCATATACAATGTAATATGTACAGTTTCAGCAACTAGATCAAGATTATTACTCATGCAGATCATTCATATATAAAACTTATGTAATGTGATTGTCATATCAATCTATTTTACACATAATATTAAAATTTTAATATATATAAATATTAAACTTTCTGTCAATTTTTACGATATGACATGCCAGTTTTATAATTTGATTAAGAGATATATACAGTTAAGAAATAAGAATGATAACATAAATGTTAAATGTAATTACCAGACATTGGTGGTCTAGAATTCAGCGTCCACCTTCTGGAGACAAATAATTGTGTTTGTGACTACAATTGAGTGACAACTTAAAGATGAGTAGTTGACAATAATTTTATGTCTTTTTAATTTTATATACCTATAATTTCGACCACGTCTACAACTTCATAAACATCATAAATGTTTAATTTTATGTTTCTGTACAATATTTAATTGCTTAGAAATTGTTTAAATACAACTACTTCCTACCTTTAATTTTTCTTTCAATTACATTTAAACATGTGTATTTTAAAGATTTGCATTGCAATAGTTTAATCGTAATATCTAATCTCAACTATATTGTATTTAAAATATAATTTTTATTTTTTAGCAAATTAATAAGAAGCCTTGTCCTTATCCTAATCTATATTCTACACAAGAGATAAATTAATTAGTTAACCTGATCATTAAGAGCTTAACTAATCAAGTCCAGGATATTTTTGCAGTCTCTCAAGTAACATTAGTGGTAATTTAATAAGCCATATTTGTTAATTAACTATGTACCATCCTCCACACATAGTATAAGGTGAATAGCGATAGAGTGTTGATATCTATCTCAAAATCAATAATTTTAAGTGTTGACAATGTTGTCAAAATATTTAATCTTACTGGGCAAGCTGCCAATCACATCCATCCATATGGCAAATTAAATGAAAAAATTACAATTCTGGTGTTTTAAAACGTGAGCTAAATTAGTACTTAATGAAATTTGGAAAATCAATAGTATATTTTAACCTTTGAATAATAAATGCTGTAAAAATTTAAAGTAGCATATATAAACGAAATTAAATTAATTAACTAGGAAAAGTTGTTTGCCTTTAGATCCTATATATCAAAATCCCTTCGGCTCGGGTAAACACAAGTTTTTGATTGAAAATCATAAGTAGATTAATTGATGAACTGGAACTTGATCATCAGGCTAAATAGATTTGAATGTGTTGTAGCTCTTGTCCTTCAAGACTACTTATTTATGGGATAAATGCCACTTAATCAACAATAATGTTACTTGTAATGAGTGGAGAATTCGATGATGAAATAATTAATTAATTAATTAATCTTCTGATTAACAGACATGTGAAAGATGATGAAAAGGAAATAATGATCAACATTATGAAGCGTAAGTAAGATACAGTGGCATCTCACTCGTACCTAGAAATCTCTCAAAATCCCCTAACACAAATTTTCTATATAAACAAACCTGCTGAGGTTGAGGGAATGCCAAGCAAAATCTAAAATGGATTCCATTAATGGAGAGAGTAGTGCTATTGAGCTACGTGAAGCTCTAGGTTTGGTGTGGAATTATTCCTTCAAATACGTAAATTCCATGTCCTTAAAATGTGCTATTGATTTAGGGATTCCTGATATCATCCACAAAGAAGGCCAACCCATCACTCTTTCTAAACTAGTTTCAGCACTGGGGGTTCACGCAAACAAAGCTCATTGCATTCTCCGCCTCATGCGCATTCTAGTTCACTCTGGCTTCTTTGCTCAACAACTTGACCAAAATGAGCAGGAAGAAGAGTTATATCTTCTTACACCCGCTTCTCGACTCCTCCTTAAAGATAACTCCATGAATGCAGCACCCTTTGTGCTTCTCGTGGCTGATCCAATATTCACAACTTCCTTCACTTTTTTAAGCACATGGTTACGAAATGATGATTCCTCAGTGTTTGAGACAGCTCGAGGGAAAAACTTTTGGGATTGTGTAGCCGAGGAACCTAGACTTAGAAACCTGTTTTACGAAAACATGGTCTCTGACTCTCGGTTGATATCAAGATATTTGATTGAAAACTTTAAAGATGTCTTTATAGGGTTCAAGTCTCTGATTGATGTGGGCGGTGGAACTGGAACTATGGCCGAAGCCATAGCCAAAGCTTTTCCAGAAATTGAGTGCACTGTTTTTGATCTTCCACATATTGTTGTTAATTTGCAGGGAACTAAGAACTTAGCTTTTGTTGGAGGCGACATGTTTCAGTCAATACCTTCAGCAGATGCAGTTTTGCTCAAGGTAAATTCAATATTTTTGTTAGCTCTTGTTTTTACCTGCCTGTCATCTTCAATTTTAAGGGTATGTAAAATATACAGTGGATTCTACATGATTGGGGAGATGAAGATTGCTTGAAGATACTAAAGAGGTGTAAAGAAGTAATTCCAAGCAAAGATAAAGGAGGGAAGGTAATTATTGTTGACATGATCATTGATACACAGAAGCAAGATAAGGAGTCAGTTGAGACACAGCTATGCACTGATATGTTCATGATGTCTGTGCTATCCGTTGCCAAAGAACGAAGCCTCAAAGAATGGAACAAACTCTTCTTGGAAGCCGGTTTCACCCACTATAAGGCAACTCCTATTATAGGTCATAGGTCTCTCATTGAGCTTTACCCTTGATTTCTTATTTCAAATCATATTTGTGTGTTAAGTTTAATTCTCGAATGCTTGGACGGACTTTGTTGTATTCCAATACAAATTTGTAATATTGTACCTTCGATCTCTGTTATCCTCAAAAATAAAATAGTATCAACATCTAAATAAATTATGAAAATTAAGAGTTAGATTTTTAAAATACTGAACTGCAACCTTCCTTGTTGAAATTAATTTTTGCACATAGTGGACATCAATCTCAAATTCTTTATCCGTGCCTGAAATACAGGATTCGCAGCGCATCAGCGCTTTGATTATCACACCATAGAATGGGAATTGTAGATACTGTAATATGGAGTTCTTGAAACAAATTTAGAATCCAAGCAACTTCTGTGGAACCCCCTGTAGACTTTCGATCTGTGAATTTACTGGCCCAGTCAGCATCAACAAAGCCTTCTAACTTAAGTTGCTTTTATAGCATGAAAATTTAAGAGCTAGAATTTAAGAGAAAAATCTGATTTTCATTAACAAAAAATGAAGTACATAAACTGTTTATGTTGGGCTGGGTTATTTCCTTTGTGGAGGAAACCGAAGCCCATATGGCTTAGGGTTTAGTGACTAAAATGCAGCAGTTTTTGGGTGGCTGCTTAGTGAGAAGAAATGGGGGCAGCCGAAAATAGAGAGTAAGAGAGGCAGAAAAACTGGGTTTTGGGGGGGCGACAGTTTCCATCAGACTGTGGATTGGAGATCGATCCATGGTCTGATTGAGCTGAAATTTGATCAGTATGCTCGTGACTCGTAGTTCTTCAATCTGATATGTGGAATTGTCATTTGGAGCTCCCTACATCAGGTTTTCCGTCAATGAACAGCACCTATAAGTGAATATCCATTGTGATACCAGGATTATTTATTCTTGATGATAGTACTGTTGTATGCCTCTAGTTCTAGCTAGAGAAGAACATTGTATGCCATTATTCATTTGATAGTGGAGTTTTTGAGGGGATTATGGTCCTATGGTTTTTTACTCTTCGCACCGAGGAGTTTTTCCACGTTACTGGTGTTGTGATATTTCAGTAGATACATTGCTCTACGTTGTTGCTTCCTGTTAGGATTAGGTAAGTGAAGGGAGAATTCATCCCGTTGTGCTGTTGTTGTTTCTTTCAACTGTTTATATATACATCTTAGTCTTCTTCTTAAACCACTTCTTCGCCTATCTCCTGCGAACACCCCCTCGATAAAATGATTATTAAAAATTCTTCTGTGGCCATTTATTATATCAGGTTTAAGATGAGAATTGCAAGAATCATCCAGCAGGTACAAGATATTAGCATTTTTAACATGAAAAAGCACTTGCTTCCAGATTTCCACAATTTGAATAGTGAATTTAATTTATACTGTCCATTCGACCCTTTTTGTATTGTTTTACAGACACCAAAAGAGCATCCAACCAAAACAAAACAAAGACATGAATAATGCTGACAATATTGCCAAAAACATGATACATAAAAATTGGTGAAAAATGGGCAAGTGAGATTTGTGTAAGTAGGACACTAGTTCAAGATTTTATGACTCAGGACAAAACCCAACAAACCCCATTAACTTTGATATGATATGATCAACAGGTTTTGGACCAAACCATCTGAAACATTCTTCAAAAAAACGTAACATAATTTCATCATCTCAATCAATATCCTAATCATCAACAACAAGATTTCTCCCCTCTTAGGCATATAAAATCAACAGACCAAACTAAAACATATATATTTGATTACTCCGAAACAAAAACATAACGCAAACAACATCACAAAGTATGGAAGTTTTTTAGTACACCACGAATAACAAGTTCAATAAAATTCCAACAAATGAGATATTGACACGGATGATTGATAATATAATAATGCAAGATTAAAATGTTTTTCAACATTTAAAGATGATCCTAGGACTACGACAATTTATAAATGTGCAACAGAGATTAGCCTATTGAAAGCTCATTTAATTAAACGACTCAACAAGACAACATCCATATATAAAACGTTTGTTATGTGATTGTCATACAAAAAGTAAAATCTCAACAACAAAACATTCGTATGTCATATTATTTATTCAAACAAAAATGTTTTACTTACAACTTAATTATACAAACAGATAAAAATTACACAAAATTTAAGTAAAATAACTACTCTGTCCTTTTTTTTTTTTTTTCCTGTTTGTATGACTCAGTTATAAGCATAGCATTGCTCTTATAACACCCTCCTAAACATCATAATCACCTCAAACACCTACATTCTTAAACACGACTACTTCCTACCTTAATTCTTTCAAATCTATTCAATTACATTTAAACATGTATTTAAAGAATTAGGAATACATAATCTCAATTAAATAGTATAAACATATCATTTTTGGTAAAACTATCCCATTAAAATTTTTAAATACGTATATCTAACTGTCTAAATGAATCCCATCTATCCACCATCAATGCAGTGAACAACAATTCTTCTTCTTCTTCATCTTCCGCAACGTTCACCTGTTGTTGCTATGGTTGACCAGCTTGTGCTTGTTGTTGGTTATTATTTCGATAACAGTCTTTCTCTAGGTGACCTAGTTTGTTACAAAACTAACATGTCTTCATTGATGTTTCATGTTTGAAAAATTTCACTAACTTGTTGATTGATGAGCAGTGGATATTAAAAGATTGAAGCGATGCAGAATGCATGAAGATTTTGAAGAAAGGTAAGGAAGCGACTACAAGCAATGGGAAGACAGGGAAAGTGATGATAATAGACAGGCATCAAGTCATAGAGTAACCATGTCGAATTTTGCTAGCATCTAGATTGCATAGTAACTATACCAAATTTTGTCGCCAAGATTTGAGAACCATTTCACCTACAACTTGAACTTCTTGTAGTTCTTCTCTTTTGTGCATTTACCATCTCAAAATAACCCATCTCCCAAGTCGCAACTTTGAGCTCTGATACAACTTATTAGCAGATCGCGCAGCGAAAAACATACATTCGAGATTAATAACATATGAACAAAATCACACTACACAAAAAAAATGATGTTTACATGGTTCGGCATAACACGCTTACATCCACGAATTAGAGAAATCCATTATAGTTTCATGAACACAATATACAAGAGTACACAACACCATAAACCTAATACAAAATTAGTAGAGCAGAAACAATCCTAGTTTCTAACCACGCTCAACTTAGTAGCTAGAGAGGAAACAATCCCAGTTTCTAAGACACTCTACCCATGGTTTTTAATAACCTTACATCAAATACTTTGTGTTCTCACATTCTCTCATAACATTAAATTGATTCTCAACTCTATATCTAGATACTTTATGAGACATTCTATTTCTAATAGGATTCATATTTCAATTCCTAATATAGGACCCCTATAATTCTATTCCTATTTACAATTTTATTTTTTATTAAATAGTTTTCTTAAAGATATACAATTTTACATCAGAACAAATAGAACGAATCACAATATCCCAACAAATTTTAATATTATATGTAGTGCATAATTAAAATGTGATATTTTCTCAAATGCATGTTGCATGTCTACAATTTCAATACATCTTCCTGGATCAACTCCTTTTTTGGGTCACTTCCTAGGTCAGTTATTAAAACATTGCTATATATAGACCTCAATATGTTACACAAATCACACAAACAATTACAAGTGGCCTTGGAATAAGCTTAGATAGATCCTTGTTAGGGGTGGTGAACTCTATTTTGTTAGAGTAGGTGTCCTAGAGCCAATCAATTATTGTAGAATTGATTCTTTGTAATAATGTTCATTGATCAATAAAAGGTATTTTATTCTATATCGTGTAAATCATATTCATATGTATTGATATATGTCCTTAGGATGATAGAACCGTGACGAGGGTATCAAGTGTTTCAAATCTTGATAGTGAAAATCCTATGAGCACATATGGTGATCATTCTAGAAATGTCCGTAGCCCTAGTATTATTCTGACCAAAGACACAGATAATACGATAAGCCTATCATAGTGTTGAACGACCATGTTGAAAGGCAGTGACTTATCTCACTTGTCAAGATTGTTTGCTGACAATTTGGTGCAATACATAGGTGCTTGTTGTAGGCAAGTTCACTGGACTGGCCCACCAGAGGATTTCATATAGATGGTAACCCCAGTGTCTATAGAATAAATCCTCTAACAAATGGTGGTGCATGTGATCCTTAGTCTTGAGATCATCAGAGTGTCTTGTGCATCGATTGGTGTAGTTTGACACTAACCCAACGTAGTTCTATTCAGAGCTATCAATATGGTAGTGATTAGCTGCATCGAAGAGTGTATCAAGACTATGATGGATCGACAAAGGATTCATCACTCCTGGGTACAGGAGAAGTTATCTTACAGAACAATTCAATAAATGACAATAACACTAAATTTGTGGCCACAGTGGGATTGAGTTGTTGCTCAATCTAATTTATTATTCTGGTCATTGGTCCAGTAACGAAATACAAACACATCGAGAGTAATTGAGGTTGACACTATTTATGTACCTCAGTCTCGATGAGATAACAAATGATGAAATGATTTGATTACACGGTAACCATATCGTCGACATGTAGTTGTTTCGCTGAATTCGAATTTATCGGGTGACCATGATGCCTTGCTGAGGGCCAATCTTGGTTTGTATGTAGTGAGACGATTGATTGGTATTAATCGCGATGCTGCTCACTGCCAGTATGAGGAGCCTACGGGTCACGCACATAGAAGATAATTTGAGAATCAGTTTGTGCAAGGGGCATTTTTGTCTTTTAGGATGAAAGGGTATTTTGGTAATCTCACAGTACAATTAAATTTGCTGAGGTTGTTGCCTATATTTAATTTAATGTTAAAATTAAATAAGTGAGATTATATTTAAATATATGTACACATATACTTAAATGAATTATTATTGTTAATTAAATGTTAATATATTTCATAACTATATTAATTGACTTTAATTATAATAATAATTAATTTAAAATAAAAATACCACAAAGAGGGTGTTTGATTACAAGGTTGGAGCCATGCCTATTCGTCATTGGAATAGGTTTTGACACATGCACTATATAAGTGCATGTGTGTTAGAGAATGAATTTTAATTCATTCATTCAACCAAAAGAAAAGGAGAAAAGAGGCAGCTCCTT